GTAAAACCACATTTATTTTTAATCTTACCTCAGTATGCCTCAAATTCCAAATTTCTGTAGTGTTCTGTAATGAGTTCCTGTGTACTCATTATTGAATGGAAGGTCCAAAACCTGTCATTGTCCTTTTTTATTTTATTTTATTTTTTTACCTCTTTGGGCAGGTTCAGCCTCAGTTCACTCTTTGGAACTCTGCTGCTCAGAGGTTTCCAAATTCTGGGCACCTGTGTGTATGCAGCCAACTCTCAGTGACCACTTTTAATGTTTCCATCTCTCTCTCACTTTCCCTCTCTTCTCTCTTCTCCTTTGAATTTTCTGGTTATCTGTTGTTGGTGTAAGTCCTCGACATTGCTCATATGATTAAACTGGAGCTAGGAAGACAAGCTGGGGAGAGAGAGATTGAGAGAATGAATGTGAATGAAGAGAGAAAGAGTGTGCAAGACCAAGACTGGGCAAGGCAGTGCACACAAAGACGTGTTTTCCAAAGTTGCAATGGAAGTTATATGTGGGTTTATTTCTTGTTTTGCATTGTCCTTTTTTCTCTCTACCACTAAGAATAATTGAGAGTTCACCGTGCACATCTTAAACACATACACACAAAATCAGATATATTAATATAGAATGTATATATATATATTTCATATAATCTAATATTTAGAAACCCATTAGGCTATGTTGAATGTGCTTTATGACTAGGAAAAATACGCTTTGCAGATTTTCCTGGGGATCACAATTATGAGAGATGGGGACTTTTTTTTTAATGTGAGTTCTACTTCCGGGTGTAACTTGATAAACTACCATATTTTAACAATAATTCCATTCTCAGTATAATTAATAGAAAATTAGTTTCTAAAAGTAAAAATTGGGTCAGAAATGGAGATTATTAAAATGTACAATTGCAGAAGCCTGACCCTGCAAACCCCATTTATGCAGCTGAGTTCCAAAATGCTTTTGAGTGCTTGATGACTCACAGTGGCTTCTTCCTCTGGCTGGTTTAGTGTAGGCAAGAGGTTAGCCGACTAGGGGAAATTAAAACAATGTTGTACATTATATTGTTACCAGCCATCGAAAAGCCTATTTTGTATGCAAGACAGCAATGCTGAGATATATGGAGAGCCCTAGGCTAAGTACAGAAGATAATTACATTTGGAATTTTACTGAGTTAAGTCATTTACAGCTTCAAATAGTTGCAGAGAAAAATCAGCCAAAACACACTTAAACTTTTTGTTGTGACTTTTCAGGATAGAAAGGATTTTTTTAAATTAGTTATCATCTTATATGACAAATTACATTTTTTTAGTAGGATTTTTCTCAAAAGTTATTTTTGTTTAGCCAGTTAATATTTTTCCATTCAAACTTGGGATATAAACTTATTAGAACAGTAAGATATTTATACAGGAAAAGGGCACATCATAAAATTTCAACATTTTAAAATAAGTCTTTGGAAACGTCTTCAAATTTAACATGTTTATTGAGAAGGGAAAAAAAAAAAAGTAGATTTAACTCACCCCGACAGTTCCTTTATGATTAAGACACAGCCCTTGACAAACTGGACTCAAAAGAATAAACTCCATGCCTACTCCTACCTGAATTTGTACACGTTGGGAGTGGTATTTATAAAGTAATACAAGCTCCTGCATTTATTTATTTGATAACATTAAATTCTTGATGGGCTAAAATAAATTGTTGACTAGAATTGTCATGGGTTGTCAGGTAGCCATTCTAGACTACAGATTTGTGTTTTTGGCCGTTGTTTAATGAGTCAAGAACTGAGCATTTATTTCCACAAAAAGAGGTCAGGAGAAGGAAAAGATTAAGACCATCATCAATAAGTCAAGTGTTGATCTCCTGGCAGCTTTCATGTTGTTTTCTTGGTGGGTATGGCCTAGAAGTAGTACAGACATAAGGATTCTTTGATTATTTGATTATTTATAGATTTCATTTGTTTCTAGATTTCCTTTTATCCTTCAGCCCTAAATCAAACAAAAGGCAGGTTTTTCAACTTGTGATTGACACCAAAGATGACCTAGCCAGAAGTTAGTACGATATGGTCATTACCTGTGATGTTCCTTGTAATGTTTTTGTTGGGGAATTTGCCGTAATGGAGGAAGGGACAGGCTAATTCTGATGTGTTCTGTTTCTGCAAAGCTTGAGGGAATTGTCAGAGTGATGAGGTAGACCTTGTTGAGAGCAAGGGTTAGCAACCTACAGACCTCAGGCCAAATCTCACAAGCTAAGAAATGTTTTCATACTTTAAATGGTTAAGGGAAAAATCTAAGGAACATTATTTCATGACTGGTGAAAATGCTAGGAAGTTCCAGTGTCAGTGTCCATACATAAAATTATATCAGAACACAGCCATACCCATGCCCACTCATTTACTTATTACCTGTGGCTGCTTTTGACTACGATAGGAGAGTCAAGTAATTGAAACTGAATCTACATGGCCTGCAAAGCTGAAAATGTTTATGATCTGGCTCTTACAGAAGTTGGCCAAGCACCCCTGGTCAAGAGGATCAGAAAAACTATTTGTATTACAATATTAGCACCTTGTCCCCTTAGGATCTGGCTGCCTAAAGTTCGGCTCACCCCTTTTTCTCTCTTCCTTCTTAGCCAAGGTGTATAAAACCAGTCTAGTCTCCATGTGGATCAAGTTTCCCTACTAGCATTTTCATGTAACAAGGACCTGCCACTTTTGGAGGTCATGGAAAGCTGGGCAAGGGATATTCATTTTTCACTCTTTCATTCATTCATCCACCTACCCATCCATTCATCTATCTACTTACTCATTTAGCAAGCATTACTTAGAACCTGTCAGATAGTAGGAATCTTGCTGGAGCTACTGCAAAGTACAGTGATTAAAACAGATAAAGCTGCCCTCCAAGCTCTTACACTCTAGATGGAAGAATAGACTACAAAATAATTTTCTAGTGAGAATGTCCATTCATGGGGCAGTGCGAGCTGACACTAACAAGTTCTTGAGAACACTAGAAATTTACTCAAAAGAGAGTTTCAGTGCTAGAAAGGGGCTAAGCCAAAGCAGATCGTCTCCATTAGTTACCATTCGATCAGATGCAGTAGATAAGAAAATGTGAGCAGTTTTTAGTTTTTAAAGAACCCTTGCCCTGAGACAGAGTTAAGAGAAGCCTTAACTCAAGGATTCGATTGAGAGTCTTTTGAGTTGCAGACCCTAGCACATAAGGGGGCATTTGGGATACAGTACAGTTATACTTGAAGGAATCGTATTTTTTATAGGTTTCCCCTTTCTCTGCAGTTCAGCACTGCTAGGTTTGTGCTATTCCATTTGCCACTTAACGCACCAGTGTCTAGAAACATACTTTCTAACTTAACATGACTACCAGCCATTGTGCCTATAGAATCTGAGTTATTGGGGCAATCAGGTCCCTCCAGCAGCAGGAATACTTTAAAGAGATGTGCTTGTCCTCAAACAGGCTGTTTCTGTTTCCTGTTGGCGTCGTCCCTCGCTTGTTCTCTCAGCCACAGACTGGTATGTCACCTCCTTTAGAGGAGATGCGCTGCACATGACTGACCCAAGGGCTACTTTGCTTTTCTTAAAGCATTTATCAGTCCAGGAAAAACTTGAACCTCCAAGTATCTCTCGAAGTATGTTATAAAATTATCACTGATTAACTTGAGTTTGAAAAACATTTGCACCACTTAGCGCTACAAGAAAGAGCAGTTGCGTTTTCATCAGTTCCCAGGGGGCGATGCTTGCTGTGTTAGAGTGGAGGAGGCAGAATCTGCCCTGCTACCCAGACTCTCAAGACCTCCCTTTGCAGCATGGCACTTAAGTGTTCACAGCTGGTAGAGGGTAGACCACATATGTGCCCCCATCGTACAGACAAACCCAGTAAGCTCAGATTGGATCTTACCATATACATCAATGGAGGCTCATGATATCTAACCTAGAGGATCATCAAAAAAGGATTCCACAGGAGAATTCAGAGGGCACAGTAGCAATAGAAGCAACCAAAGCCGGTGAAGGTCACTTAAGAGCTGTCCTCTGTACCTAGACAGACCCCTTGAATCGAAACCCCGGAAACTTTTTCTCTTAACCAAAATGGAAGGTCCCTGTGTCTCTGATCTACCAGTCAAACCTCGCTAAAGAAAAACGATGCAATTTTTCAAAAATAACTACTCCTATGGTTAGCCATAGGGGATAGTGTCTAGAGATGTTCCCCTTCATAGAGCTATCTATCCAATACTACATTTGAGTTAAACTCAAAAGCCTTTAAGGCTGAACTGGTGAGATTTCAGGCAACCGGGCAGAAATAAAGACAATGGGTTATGAAGATTGACTTAGACTATCTAATCAGCACTGTGCATGAGTGCTGTCCTGTTCCTGTGTGTTTAAAATATGACTTGATTTACAAAACCAAAGTTTTAATAGAAATTTGAATTACAAATGGTAAGGTACATCTATATTTGTTAGGTTTTTGTTGAAAGATGTAAAATACCTGGTGAATGTTTTCTCAGCAGTAGAATGCTTATGTAGAGCATGTTTAACAGAGAAGGCTTGGGTCATTCCATTCTGCTGTTGCAGCCTTCTACTGGTCTCATTGAGAGAAGAGTCAAGAAGACATCTCAGTGGACCTTCTGAGCCTTTTCAGAGGTTTCTTACTGCATTTCATTATTGCAAAGACAGTTAGCATTTTAAAACATTTTTCCAATGGACCCCAGCTATTACCTGGGGCCTAAAAGTGTAAACCCTGAAAAGTGTGTGAGGTCCTTATACTGTACACGTAGACACCTAAGAGTGAGACAGACACCACAAAAATCATTTGGACCAATGACATACATGGCTTTTTAAAGTCAGGGAATGTAATAAGATTTCATCTGTTCTTTTTTGACAGATTCTTCTGGAAGGAGAGGATATGAGTTAGAATTGGAGGGGAGAAAAGTTCCCATAATCAGTATACGTAATCTTATATAGGTTATGAAATGTGCAGTCTTCTCTCCACCCCCACCACAACAGAGAGACA